CTGGAATGGAACTGTTGAGGGTGTGGAGAGGAAGGTGAGCTCAAATGTGTTGCACCTGAGGGTCAACCAGACTCCTCCTCATGTCTGTTCGCTCCTTCAGAAGCGCTATCATCTCCTGCTGCACGTCACTCTCCTTCTTGTGAGCTCCTTCCTCAATGTCCCTGTCTATTTTGTGCAAGAGCGTGATCCTCCACGCCCTCTGCTCAGTGTCCGCTGCTCCAGAGGCTTGCATGATCCCTGCAAACATGTCATCCTGCATTCTTTTCCTTCTCGTCCTTATCTGGGCCAGCTTCTCCACTGGTGTGGAGGGAGAGGGGAAGACCACGTTTTCAGCTGCAAAAGATACAATGCACAGAGGTGCTAGTGTGAGTGCATAGTCAAGATATATGGAAAAATTGCTATATTGAAATCACTCCCATTAGTCCATGCAAGTTTCAAGCAGTACATTTTCACTTTGGCCAGGTATTCACAGGCCGCAGTTGCAGTCCCAGCCATGGTGCGTATGGCCCAGGGGGAGAGGAGTGAGCTGGCACAAGACGCGGTGGGAGGGAGGTGTCCCGGGCACTAGAGCAGGGGTTGGCAACCTTTGGCACATAGCTCGCCAGGGTAAGCACCCTGGCAGGCCAGGCCGCTTTGTTTACCTGCCACGTCTGCAGGTTTGGCTGATCGCGGCTCCCTCTGGCCACGGTTCGCTGCTTCAGGCCAATGGGGGCTGTGGGAAGCGGCAGCCAGCACATCCCTCGGCCTGCGCCGCAGCCCCCATTGGCCTGGAGCGGCGAACTGCGGCCAGTGGGAGCTGCGATCGACTGAACGTGGAGACGCGGCAGGTAAACAAACCGGCCCGACCCGCCAGGGTGCTTACCCTGGCAGGCCACGTGCCAAAGGTTGCCGGTCCCTGCACTAGACTTTGCAAGTCAGGCAATTGAATACAGGCATTGTTTCCCACAGGCAGTGGTGACTTTAGCTGATTTCTTACTCCTGAGGGTAATGGAGGTGAAAAGGCAACAGCAGCTGCATGTGTCTGGTTGCAGACTGGGACCATACGCTGTGTGCTGATTTAATTGATGAGTGGTGTGAGAAAGTGTCATCGGGCCGGAAGAAATAAGGTAGCCCTCCCCA